AAAGTGGGGTAAGTAACGTGAGCTTTTTGAAAAAGTACTTTATAATAATATAAAAAAAATTTTTATGAATTGTGTAATGGATCTACAAATGATGTGACGGTTCCCCCTGTTACTTTAAAGTGTATAAATAAGTTACCCGGGCAATTGATCCAATCATATGAAAGTCCTCCTATGAACTTGACACCCCAACAACATATATATAATAAAAATTGTATAACGAATTATTAAAAACGAACATTTTATACCTAACCCTTATTATACATAACCCACGGTAGTATAGTCTTCATCGAGTCAATTTAGATTTGATCAATGTCTACAAGACTCCAAAGAGCCGCAGATAAAAGCCTCAATGAGAAGCATGCCAAGATTCTGGCAAGTTGTTTGAGCAAGCCGGAAAATAAGTACTGTGCAGATTGCAAAAGAAGAGGTTTATATTAGTTATCATAGAACTATAAATGAATTTTAAATATAAATGCTAAATTTATTTTTATAAACAGATCCACGCTGGGCGTCCTGGTCTTTGGGCATTTTTATCTGCATAAGATGCTCAGGCATTCATCGATCTCTGGGAACCCATATTAGCCGTGGTATGTAATTTTTTCATGGAAATATCTGTTAAGATTTTGTTCTAATGTGATTAATACAATTTTAGTCAAGTCTGTCGATTTGGATACGTGGACTCCAGAACAAGTCGATGTACTCTATAAAATTATTTTATTCTATTTATTATTATTATTATTTTTTAAACAAAGAACTTATTCGTTAAATTTTATTCAATAGAATATGACTCGATGGGGCAATGCGAAGGCAAACCTGTAAGTAATTTTATTAACTATTACTGTAACGTTACAAACATTCAAGTGACATCATGTTACTGTATTTATTTTTTTTTTCTATTTTGTAAAAGTTATTGGGAGGCAAACCTCTCGAATAGGAATCCTTCAGAAAGGTAACTAATATATATATATATCGAGGTTAAAATTATTGGAGTGCATGCATTTTAACATATTTCATTCTAGCAACATGGACAGTTGGATTAGATCGAAATATGAACTAAAGCGATGGGCAATGAAGGGACCAATACCCGATCCAGATACATTAGGTGACGGATTTTCGGATAAGCCAGTAGGAATCTGCCATTTTCCAACTTTAAATAAAATAAATATCAGATATCATATTTTACAATTAAATCTTTAATAGGCATTGTCAACTTCAGCCAAAGTTGTCAGTGAATCTCAAATCTCGGAGAAAACCTCAAAAAAAAATGAAAATATATTGGATATTTTCGCCCCTTCACCTATGTCCAACGTTTTATCAGATAATCCTTCGTCAGCATCGCAGCTTAAAGGTGCTGACTTATTTTCGATAGGTCAACCACCTCTTACAAGCAACGTAGCTTCCAACCCCATTCAGGAAAATTCCAATCTCCAATCATCCACTCCAACATCTAAATCTAACGAGCATTCTAATCATGACGTTCTGAAATCGTCTATTTTGTCATTATATAACAGCCCAAATCTTAAACCAAATACGTTATCCCAATCCTTTCTAGGAAACTATAGTTATAGTTCTCCTAATCTTCCATTACGTAATACAAATAATTCTACTACACAGAACACTAATAAAAACGGAGATACTTACATGAATGATCGGCTAGGGGGCTTCATGTAACTGTTTTGTATAAGCAAACACTTAATAGAGTAAAAACTATCCCCAAAAATTAGTTTCTTAAGTTTATAGATTTTTTACGTGTTCAGTTGGATCTTTTATATAAATCTTAAAAAAAATAAGCACGAAATTTTCCTCAATTGAAACCAGGATTCTTCTTAAAATTGGATTTGCAAATACTCGGTAGAAAGGGTAAGAACCGGCTTTATTTTTCATAAGTTAAACCAGTTTTAACATATTGATATGAAATAAAACTGGCACTGACTTTTACTTGATAACAATCAATAACAAAAGATATATATTTCACGAGCTTTGGAATAAGCTGTTTTAATTCAATGTTTGCATTCCAAATAAAAATATACGGGTAAATTCTATAAATCTAAAGTCGTCATTATAGTCCTATCAAGTTTAACACAATTGGGTCTATATTTACACTTTTCCATGAATTTTCTATAGAGAATTTTTTTTATTTTTATCTCAATGTTAATGTCACCCTCTAAATTTCAAAAAGTTTATAACAATCTTTTACTAAGTAAATATTTTCTTGGCGTTAATAAAAGTTGCTTGCATACAATAAAAGTTGCTTGCATACAGGCTGATTCTTGCAGGTGCAGTGCAATTGAAAATGATTCATTTTAGGTGATTTATCAAAATCACCAAAATGATCATCACTAAAATCAAAATCACAGGATCACGAGATCATTAAAGAGTTGTTTCACTTCGAGTGTTTCGACCAATACTTACGATTTTATCAGAGTGTGAAATTAATAATTGTGAACCTCCAATTAAAGCTAAAAGAATATTTTCTTTTAAAAATTTGGGTGTGTATTAGCAAAATAGGGATGTCAATAACAATTTCTGTCGCTATTTGAAAACTATTATTAATAACTTTATCAGGAATTGGCCCATTGGAATTTTCCATCAATGATGTTGATTTTGAGTTTCAAAAATTGACCGCCCTGCAGCATTGGTGTTTTTGTGCTGACAATACAATATCATGACCTCGGCTGCTTAAAAATAAAATATTCTATGGAATGACGCAACTTGATCAAAAACTTCTAAGACCGATGCTATAGTGAGAAAATGGGCTTATAAAGAGGTGTGACTATTTGATATTTGATCGTAACTCATTTACTTGTGATAAATGGCGTAATCAAATTTGGTTATCTGTTACGCTATCCAATCGAAATGCGTTATCGTTACTGTTATTAGATAAAAATTTATTCTTTATGGATCACAATTGAAATTCAAAGCAATTCTTTCTTTACATTTTAATATGTCTTCTACAAAAAAGGCGACACCTTCTGGAATCATTACTACTGAAACCAACGAACGCGTTATTCCTGCTAGCCTGCGCGCAGATGGTACTCTTCGTAAAGAACGTCGTGTCCGCCCGGGATTCGTTCCTCAGGAAGATATAAAGCGTTATAAAAATAAATTTGTAGCAGAACGTGAGCCAGTTTCCACACCAAAAGTTGAAGCACCGAAAACTAAGGCACAGAAGAAGAATGCAAAACGAAATGCAAAAAAGAAAGAAGAAGTGAAAGTGGAGGAAGGAGAAAAAGAACTTGAAATGTCTGCTAATGAAGAAAATGATCAAGAAATTGATCGATTACAAAGTAAAATGTCAAATATAACGATTTCATCTGAGGAGAGCCGAGACAGTTTAGACTCAACGGTGATAACCATAGAACAATTGGAAGCTACCGCGAAAAAAATAAAGGCACTTGAAAAGAAGTTAAGACAAATTGAACGAATTAAAGAGAAAGAGGCACGTGGAGAAACATTACTTGATGAAGAAAAGGAGAAAATGAGCAAATTACCGCAAGTTATTGAAGAATTAAATACACTGAAAGGAAATTATTCTGAATGATGGTTCATATGCGTACTGTTAACAATCTTAGAAACAACTATAGTTATATCAATTTTTATAATTTACGGATTTTATTATGTAAGTCTTATAAAATAAGTGGCTTTTTTGTGCTAAGAATTTAGTTGTAATTCTTTTATTTTATATATTCACCACTAGCTCTGCAAGCTGACGATTTCCTTTTTTTTTTTTTTTTTTTTTTTTTTGTGGAAAGGGTGTGTTGTACACGGGCAAATGAATTAATTGAAAATACCAGTAGTTAATAAGAACCTGCTTTTAGAGACTAAATAAAAATGTTAAATCTAATTTTGTATATATATAATAAAATTTTTATATTATTATTAATATAAAATATAAAATTACATTAGTAAAAAATTATCTAACTTATATATAAAAAATATAAATTTTTTGATTTATTATAACTAAAAAAATTAATAGAGTTAATTCACAAAATTCAGAATTTCAATATCTTGATTTGCTTTGTAAAATAGTATAGTATTAAAGCATAAAATACAATTATACAGTAGATTGCTATATACTGTATATATATAATGCAAAAAAAAATTATACGTATAATGCTGTGTGTATATACTTAACTAGTCTCTAACCCGGTGCTACGCTCCGGGCTTTAATGTTATTAATTTTTTTTATATTATTTTAATAATAATTGATATTTATTAGTTTTTTTAATATTATTAATGTTTTTTATATTATTTTAATTATAATTGATATTTATTAGATATAACAACTTTAATAGCTTTTAATTATATTCATCAGCAACGCACAACTAAACAATCTCTATAGACAACAATCTTAAAGACAATACAGCTTGTATTCTTCGCTATACTTAGTAATACCGACAGAGCTCGCTTTGCTCACTCTGTAGTCGCTCACTCCAGCTAACACCTCCGGCTCCGCTCCTATTACCTAAAGCATACTAACTCTAACACTAACTCTAACCCTAACCCTAACTATTCGTAATCGACAACTTTATTAGTTTTTGATTATTTTTTCTAAATAAACTAAATAAATAATTTATTTTTTATTCAAAAAATATATTAAATTTAATATACTAATATGGGCCCTGTTGGGGCCCAGATTAGTATATTAAATTTAAAGCTAAATATATAAAAAATCTAAGACTAAAAATTTTTATATAAAAAATATTTTAAATTTAATATACTAATCTGGGCCCCGTTGGGGCCCAAGTTAGTATATTAAATTTAAAGCTAAAATAAAAAATAATTTAAAATTAAAATTTTTATAAAAATGCTTTAAATTTAATATACTAACCTGGGCCCTGTTGGGGCCCAGGTTAGTATATTAAATTTAAAGCCAAATAAATAAAATAATTTTATTCTTTATTAATTTTTTTTTACATTTAGATATTAAATCCAAAACTTTAATTTTTATCACCAAAATACAAAACCAAAACCCCAACACTAACTCTAATTTCAAAATTTTTAATTTTTTTAATTTTATTAATTTTTTTTATTTGTTTTATTTTTAAAAAAATTAAAATCTTAAACCCAAAATCCTAACCCTAACCCCAAAATACAAACCTGAAACTCTAACTCTAACCCTAATTTTAAAATTTTTAATTTTTTTTAATTTTTTTAATTTTTTTATTTTTTTATTTTTTTAAAAAATCTAAACCTAAACCCAAAACTCTAACCCTAACCCTAATCCTAACCCTAACCCAAAATCTAAAATTGAAACCCTAACCCTAATCCCAAAATCTAAAACCGAAATCTCTAATTTTGAAGATTTTATTTTTTTTTGATTTTTTTTGATTTTTTATTTTAAACCAAATCTAATATAGTGGGTTTCGGGGTTTTAGATTTTATTGGTGGTCCTGATCCAATCTAGGTTGGTGGGTGTGATAAAATACATATGACAAATAAGTATACAGAATATATATTATTAGTAAATTCTTATTTGTCACATGGTATTTATCGTACCCAAACCTGGGTCTTTCTGGTTCACAAGAACCCGAATCGGGTTCCTTGAACCAATTTATGGTTCAAAAGAACCCAAATCGGGTTCCTTAAACAATTTCTGGTTCAAAAGAATCCGATTCGGGTTCCTTGAACCATTTTCTGGTTCAAAAGAACCCGATTTGGGTTCCTTGAACCAATTTCTGGTTCAAAAGAACCTGATTCGGGTTCTTTGAACCAATTTCTGGCTCAAAAGAACCCGATTTGGGTTCCTTGAACCAATTTCTGGTTCAAAAGAACCTGACTCGGGTTCCTTGAACCAATTTCTGACTCAAAAGAACCCGATTCGGGGTTCTTGAACCATTTTCTGGTTCAAAAGAACCGGATTCGGGTTCTTTGAACCAATTTCTGGCTCAAAAGAACCCGATTTGGGTTCCTTGAACCAATTTCTGGTTCAAAAG